TTTTCCTCTTTTCTTGAAGCCACCTTCAGTTTTGACAGATAAGCCTTCCATTTCTTCTTCAAAGCCTTGGAACATGCCCATCAGACAGGGATCAGAGAGGAAGAGCTTTTCTTTTCTATTAAATAGTAGTTTTAGTGAGATAGAATTCTATCATTTTTTGTTGACCAATCATGATACCATGATATTAAGTGAATAATAGTTACATAATCACAACGGTAAAGATGTTTATCAGTTTTCACAATCAGTAGCCAGACAAAAAAATAAAAGATAATTACAACTGCAAGCCATAACAGAAATACAATTAACCTAGCAATATAAAATAATTACACACAATTTGGGGGGTTAGGTAGAGTGATGTGGTAAGTGGAAATGCACGCATGCACGTGCTCTCATCTACCCAGTCATTCCATGTCTTTTGCTTAGTACATTTAAGCCAGGTAATTATTCAGGTAATTATTGATGTGCATGATCCTACTACCATTTTCTTAATTGTTTTGGGTTTATTTTGTGTAGGTCCTTTCCTTCTCTTATGTTTCCTGCCTAGAGAAGTTCCTTTAGCATTTGTTCTAAAGCTGGTTTGGTGGTGCTGAATTCTCTCAACTTCTGCGTGTCTGGAAAGCTTTTGATTTCTCTTCCAATCTGAATGAGATTGCTGTGTAGACTATTATTGGTTGTAGGTTCTTCTCTTTCATCACTTTAAATACATCATGAAGGTGGCCATTCTTAAACTCCATCTCACAAGTTATTAGCTTCTATCTGGCCTGGTTGCACACCTCTTATACACACAGGAAGGCAACTTTGTATCTTCGGCAGATTCTTTGAAAATCTCTACCTTATTCCAATCAGCACTTATACCTACTAAGGATTAAAGTATCATTGTTTACTGAGGTATTTAGGATTATCCCAGGATAAATTAAAGTTTTGCTTTTTGTAACTTTCTGGAAGTTTTTTTCTCAAATATTTCCGGTCTGTGGATGGTAGAATCTGGTGGATGTGGAACACACAGAATGGAGGGCGGACAGTAATTGCCCACAGTTGTGATCCAAGTACTCATCCAGCAATAAAGACAGCCAGCAGTTACTGACACCTTACCTACTATGGCTAAATTGAATTATTTTCCCCCTCCCTATACCATCTCATTTCTGGAACATCTCAAATGAGAGTTGTTCTAAGGACACTGAAGCTAGCCCTGCTTTCAAAGGTGGTTGTATTCTGATGTAAATACAGCAGCAGGGAGAATTCTTTATGGGTAAAAGTTGGGTTGAGTACATTATTGAGTGAGAAAAATTATTTATGTATCTGAGACTGAAAGTCTATTAGTTTTCTACTGTAAGAAATTAGCACAAATCTATGGCTTTAAAATAGCACAAATTTGCTATCTTACAGTTCTGGAGGTTAGAACCCTGAAATGGGTCTTCAGTTCAGTTCAGTTCAGTCGCTCAGTCATGTCCATCTCTTTGTGACCCCATGGACTGCAGCAAGCCAGGCCTCCCTGTCCATCACCAACTCCCAGAGTACTCAAACTCATGTCCATTGAGTCAGTGATGCCATCCAACCATCTCATCCTCTGTTGTCCCCTTCTCCTCCCACCTTCAATCTTTCCCAGCATCAGGGTCTTGTCAAATGAGACAGGTTTTCGCATCAGGTGGTCAAAGTATTGGAGTTTCAGCTTCAGTGTCAGTCCTTCCAATGAATATTCAGGACTGATTTCCTTTAGGATGGACTGGTTTGATCTCCTTGCAGTCCAAAGGACTCTCAAGAGTCTTCTCCAAAACCACAGTTCAAAAGGATCAATTCTACAGTGCTCAGCATTCTTCACAGTCCAACTCTCACATCCATACATGACCACTGGAAAAAACCATAGCTTTGACTAGATGGACCTTAGCTGGCAAAATAATGTCTCTGCTTTTTAATATGCTGTCTAGGTGGGTCATAACTTTTCTTCAAGGAAAAGCGTCTTTTAATTTCATGGCTGCAGTCACCATCTGCAGTGACTTTGGAGCCCCCAAAATAAAATCTCTCACTGTTTTCACTGTTCCCCCATTTATTTGCCATGACTGGATGCCATGGCAATCCATGAGACTGGATGCCATGATCTTAGTTTTCTGAATGTTGAGTTTTAAGCCAACTTATTCACTCTTCCCTTTCCCTTTCATCAAAAGGCTCTTCAGCTCTTCTTTGCTTTTTGCCATAAGGGTGGTGTCATCTGCGTATCCGAGGTTATTGGTATTTCTCCCAGCAATCTTGATTCCAGCTTGTGTTTCATCCAGTCCAGCATTTCACATGATGTACTCTGCACATACGTTAAATAAGCAGGGTGACAATATATAACTTTGACATACTCCTTTCCTGATTTGGAACCAGTCTGCTGTTACACGTCCAGTTCTAACTGTTGCTTCCTGACCTGCATACAGATTTCTCAGGAGACAGGTCCGGTGTTCTGGTATTCTCATCTCTTTAACGATTTCCCGCAGTTTGTTGTGATCCACACAGTCAAAGGCTTTGACATAGTCAATAAAGCAAAAGTAGATGTTTATCTGGAACACTCTTGCTTTTTTGATGATGTTGGCAATGTGATCTCTGGTTCCTCTGCCTTTTCTAAATCCAGCTTGAACATCTGGAAATTCACAGTTCATGTACTATTGAAGCCTGGCTTGGAGAATTTTGAGCATTACTTTACTAGCGTGTGAGATGAGTGCAATTGTGCAGTAGTTTGAAGATTCTTCAGCACTACCTTTCTTTAGGATTGGAATGAAAACTGACCTTTTCCAGTCCTGTGGCCACTACTGACTTTTCCAGATTTGCTGGCATATTGAGTGCAGCACTGATCTTAGACAGGTATGAAGCAACCTGTTGTGGAGCCTGAATCTACTCATCTGTAAACTAGTACTGACCTCATGGGGCTGTCCACAGGGTTAAATAAGTACATAAGGAAAGATCATCAACTCAGTATCTGGTGCAGTGTAAATTCTCAGTAAATGCTAGTTGCTTGTATAAAATAACCACAATGAGCATTTATTAAAAGATATAAATGAGAACTGTTATCTATTGTTTGGGGCCCAAAGAGAAAGCATGAAGAATAAATTACTGGGTGTTTTAAGAGCTTTGTAAAATTGGAAGATAAATTGAAATTCTTCAATTGTAATTTTGCCAAAGGACTAAGAAATTACAATTTTGTTTGAAGATAATTTCAAACTTAACAAAATATTTGTGAGAATAAGAATATTACAAAGAACACCCAGGTACCTTTTACTAGATTCATCTAATAACACAGCAGGTACAAACAACTCAGTAGCTTCTATTACCAGGCGTTTTATATTCCTTTTCCAACATATTGTGAACCAGGCATCAAAATAGAGATTAGTTTCATACCATATCAAGCATCATAATAGAGGTTATTTTTGGAATTACTAAATAACAATCTAAGAAGGTTAAGTAATTTGCCTAGGACCACATTATAGTAGGCTATAAAACAAGAACACAAATGCTTGGGTCAAAACCTATACTTAGGAACAAAAACAAATCAATGGTTATAAATTTATGTATGCTGTATACTGGGCTTTCCTGGTAGCTCAGCTGGTAGAGAATCTGCCTGCAAGGCAGGAGACCCTAGTTCAATTACTTGGTCAGGCAAATCCCCTGGAGAAGCGATAGGCTACCCACTCCAGTATTCTTGGGCTTCCCTGGTGGCTGATGGTAAAAAATTTGCAGCTGGAGACCTGGGTTCAATCCCTGGGTTGAGAAGACCCCCTGGAGGAGGGCATGGCAACCCACTCTAGTACTCTTGCCTGGAGAATCCCATGACAGAGGAGCCTGGCGGGCTACAGTCTATGGGGTCGCAAAGAGCTGGATATGACGAGCAACTAAGCATAGCACAGCACATGCTGTGTGCTGTACTTGTGGTTGCTATGAACACAGCCCATCTGTTTTATCACCCTATCTACCTATTGTCTTCATCTTTGTAGAATCTCCAACGGAGACTATTACATTTAGAATGGATAAACAAGGTCCTACTGTATAGCACAAGGAACTATATTCAATATCCTGTGATAAACCATAATGGAAAAGAATATTAAAAAAAGTATAGATGTGTATATCTGAGCCATGTTGCTGTGTAGCAGATCGGCACAATGTTGTTAATCAACAAGACTCAACAAAAAACAAAGTAAAATATGACACAAATGAACCTACCTATCAAACAGACTCACAGAGGGTCGACCAGGGAGGGGAGAACTGGAATTTTAGTAGATGCAAACCGTTACATACAGAATGGATAAACAACAAGGTCCTACTGTATAGGACTATACTCAATACCGAGATAAACCATATGCATGACTGCATGGATGCTCAGTCATGTGTGATTCTTTGCAACCCTGTGGCCTGCAGCCCACCAGGGCCCTCTGTCCTTGGGATTTTCCAAGCAAGACTACTGAAGTGGTTGCCAGTTCCTCCTCCAGGGGATCTTCCCAACCCAGGGATTGCACCCACATCTCCTGCGTCTCCTGCATTGGCAGGAGTATTCTTTACCACTGAACCATTTCTGAGTCACTTAGATGTACAGCAGAAATTAACAATATAAATGATAAATTTATATAACATTTTAAATCAATTATACTTTGATTAAAAAAAAACTAAACCAAAAAAAAAAAACAAACAAACTTAAGTCTCCAAAATTTCCCAAGGGAGAGTTACAAAAAAGGAGGCAATTTTACACTTCTGATAATTGTATGCACTCTAAGAGCTCTGCCATAGCTTCAGCAAGACTATTAATAACAGTGATGCTAATATGTTTGGGTTACACTTAGCAATCTGGGTGTTTAATGCAGTTCAACCATTTGTTCCAGGTCACCGGAGATTAACAAGCCAGTAGCGAATATAAACATAACTGTGTTTCATTAGCTAAGCTCCCAGTTTGAAGAGCAAGGACAGAGCCACATCAATAATCTTTACTTTTGTCTAGGAGCAAGTGGTACCTCTTCGATAAAATCGTTGATACTCACTGTTGTGTTTGAAGATCCTTATGGTCGCGCCTGAGAGTCGGGCCCCAAGCACTAGAGATGCATGGTTTAACTCATCGCTTAAAATGAGGCATCCCTGTGTAGAAAGCAAGCACATGGATCACAGGCCAATAAATAAAATAAAGGGGAAGAAACACGTGGGAATAGGACCTCACTTCAAGACCTGTAACATGGATTCCCACAGCCCTCTTTAATTTTAAAAGGCCAAGAGTTTAAATGGGTTTATGTGTTTGCATGGATAAGACCCTCAAGAGCAATTAGCTGATAGAGATGGGGATCCTCTTAAGGAAGTAACATCTTTCTGAATTATTTTTATGCTACAGGATTGATGGTTGGCAGGAAAATGAATATACTTTTGGGTGGGGTGTGGGTTTGCTGGGATTTTTCAATTCCATGCTGGATTATTTGAAATGGTTTTGAAGCACTGTGACTAGAAGGCAGGGTTGTTCACTCATTTTTTTTTTCCTGCAAGACATTTCAAGCTCTTGTTTTATGATTCTAATTCCACATTATAGTAATATCCACGTAGACAGAAGCATCACTGCTTTACAGTTAAAACTGCATCTGGAAAAGCATGGATGGCAATTCAGTCTGAGGTTGGGAGAGAAGGTCAGTCTAATTTACTGCTTATCAATTAATGTTTATAAACTATTTTTCTTTATTAATTTAAAGATTTCTAAATTATGAAATTGCCCAACCATATTCAAAATGCAGGGACATGAAAAAAAAAGCATCTTTTCCTTTGTGGCCATCCAGAATCTTTGAGTTCTTCCTTATATTTTAGAAATTTCACACATGATACATTTTAAGTTTTCGAGGCCAAAGCGAGCAAAATTCTCCCATCTCCATACTTCAGACATTGTGTGTGTGTTTGTAATTTTTTGGTGAACATATGAGAGTTGTAAATCATGATATCTCACTCTTAAATTCTTTAGCATGTATCTACTAGGAAAAAGGACATTCTACACGATCATGATGCAGTGATCATAATTAAACATTACTACAATGCTGTCACCTAAAATGGGCTTCCCTGGTGGCTCAGATGGTAAAGAATCTGCCTGCAGTGCAGGAGACCAGGGTTTGATTACTGGGTTGGGAAAATCTGCTGGAGAAGGGAATGGCTACTCACTCCAGTATTCTTGCCTGGAGAATTCCATGGGCAGAGGATCCTGTGGGCTACAGTCCGTGGGGTCACAAGGAGTCATCACTTACTATATAGCTCAAAGTCAAATTTTGCCAATGGTCCTAAAAATGTCTTGATGTCTTTTGTATAGGCTTCATTTCCTTCTTTTTTGTTTTTTCATTGCAGAATCCAATCACAGATTATATATTGCATTATACTAGTTGCCATGAGTCAGATTTTTAACAACAGAAATTTGAGTATGGCACTTGCTTACTGAAAATGAAGCAACCAACTCTCCATTTTTCTCCAGAAGAATTTCCAACACTCTAGCACCATTTATGCTGCAAAGTTCTTTACAATTTGGTTCCTGTCTTCATTCTGATTTCTTCTTCATCCACTCTCTTCTGTTCTAATTCTTTCAAACTTCAGTGCTTTATACATGATACTTCCATTTCTTTCTCTTAAGGAAATAACTTACTTATCTAAACAGATAAGTACCAGATTCTGTTCTCATGTCACCTTCTTTGCATAGGCATCCCAGCCTTTCTTGAAAGAATTATTTTGTCCCTCCCCATTTATGGGCACACTTTTTCTGTAAAATTTATCCTAAGGTGGCACTAGTGGTAAATAACCCACCTGCCAATGCAGGAGACATAAGAGATGCGGGTTTGATCCCTGGATTGGGAAGATCCCTTGTAGGAGGGCATGGCAACCCACTCTAGTATTCTTGCTTGGAGAATCCCGTGGACAGAGGAGCCTGGCAGGCTATGGTTCATACGATCGCATAGAGTTGGACACTGTACCCCATTAGACTGTGAACTACATGAATTTACAGGACAAAGGTCTTGTATACCTTTGTATGCCCTACATCTTGCCTCAACAGAGGACACAGCAGATTCTCAATAAGTGACTTACTGAGTGAATAAAAAAGTGAATTATATAAGCAAAATGTTTTGTCAAAATAAATGCTTAACAATCATTTGCTACATTGAACATGGTGACTCAGGAGTTTAGAAATTTAATTGATCTTGCTAAACTGTCACTGAAAAAGAATTTTGACTCACATCTAGGGCTGAGATCCTATACCTGAAATATCATGATGAAGACACTTGCTGGGCTCAGCTGGGGCTGACGCAGGCTGGGACCTGGACCTGGGACCCTCTGCTGCAGAGCTTGAACCTAGACAAACCTCTCTGTGTTCTCGAGCAACAAAGACAAAGAAACTATTTTTGTGGGACTAAAAATTAGCTGCACGCATACACTGCAAGTTACGGACAACAAAATGCAAGCCCAGCTGCCACTTCTGAAGAGTCAGGAGAAAAATCAGGGTGTTGGGAGCAAAACCAGGGTACTGCACATGCCCCCTGCACACAACATCACCAAAGGGGTGGGCAAACCACCTAAGCCATCCCTTCGGCCTGACCTCTGGACCCACCTCTATCCTCACCCCATGTAAGAAACCAGATTGTCCCCCTTCAGGGAGTGAGAAAATAAGGGAAACTCTTACTTATATTTGCTCCTGGGGCCCCAACAAAGCCTTGCCTTAATCTCTTGTCTGGTCTCATTGATTTCTATTGATTAGGAAAGGACCCTGGTTGGTAATAGCACATATATTCAAAAAGTTGAACATCCAATCCTAAGAAAAGAAACTTCTTAGCTATACCTCTAATAGGGAATCTACTCAGATTGTCTCAGGAACAACACAGCAGAAGACAACTATGTTAACAGAGCCTCACCTTTCCAACGAGTGCAGGGATATTCATTGAGTTTGTCGCAAATCCCATCCCAAATACCATAGCATCTTCCACATTCAGGAACTTAGCCACAAGATCCTCCAGTTCTTTATGCTTATCCAAGGTTCCTGCACATGAAATGATAAGGTGGATGAGTCTCCTGTTCTCAACAAGTTGAAGATTGAAAATTCAAGTTCCAACGCTTACCCATCATCAAAAGACACATGTAAGAGTGCTCATGGCCGGTCTGTTGGCCATAGACCCGTTATAGAAGCAAGTCAAATACTCCTCCACTGTAGAAGGGATCAATACACTGTGGGGGTGTTTATATAGTAGAATTCAGCACAGCGATGAGGAAAAAGCAAACTAATGTCCCATGCAACAACATGGAAAACGTCACAAATATGTGGTTGAGTGAAAAAAGTCAGATATGTACACCTGCATGTTGTATGAATCCATTTATAGTTTACAAACAGACAAGAACAACCAATAGTACCAGTATTAGGAGTCAGGTATTAGATGCTGTTGTTTAGTTGCCAAGTCATGTCTGACTCCATGGACCACAGGCTCATCTGTCCATGGGATTTCCCAGGCAAGAATACTAGAGTAGGTTACCATTTCCTTCTCCAGGGGATCCTCCCAACCCAGGGATGAATCCTGCATCTGTACTGGCAGGTGGATTCTTTACCGCTGAGCTACCAAAGAAGTTCTAAAAGTCAGAAAAGTGGTTCCTTTTGTTGGAAGCACGCACAGAGCTTTGAGATGCTCTGGATGTTTTGTTTCTAGATCTTGGTGCTGGTTACATGGGTATGTTTGTTTGTGACAATCCACTGAACTTTATACTTATGACTGGTGCAATTTTCTATATATACATGTTTTATAATGTAATAAAATTTATAAAAAATGCCACAATTCTTTCCTCCCACCCTACACCCTACGAATAATTAAATTCTAACTATCTCAGAGATTCCCCTCTCTTAAATGCAGAGTTCATGACTTTCATACATGCAATCAAGCTATAATTTATTGAACCTTTGGAATGTGCTAGATTTCAAAGCCCACTATTTAAGTTCTCTCATTTAATTTTAAGGGCCCAATAATGCAGGTATTATTACTTTATAGATAAGAAAACTGAAGTGGGAAGTGGTAACAGATAAAAATCAACAGACAGTCAAGTCTAACTCCAAAGTTCACATTTTTATGACCCTACCACCTTTAAAAGCTTACTCTCTTCTTCTTTTTTATTATTATTTCTTTTTTACTATTTTCCCCTGCTCTCTACAGTAGGCTCTCATTAGTTATATATTTTATACACAGTAGTGAATATATGTCAATGCGAATCTCTCAAATTATTGCTCCCTCCCTTCCCCTCTTGGTGTCCACACTTTTGTTCTCTTTGTCTATGTCTCTATTTTTGCTTTGCAAATAGGTTCACCTGTACTATTCTTTCTAGACTCCATATATATGCATGCAGATGGCCAAGAGGCACATGAAAAGATGCTCAACATCACTATTAGAGAAATGCAAATCAAAACTACAATAAGGGCTTCCCTCGTTGTAGCTCAGTGGTGACTCAGCGGTGAAGAATACCACTGCCAACGAAGGAGACACGGTATTGATCCCTGATCTGGGAAGATTCCGCATGCTGCAGAGTAACTGAACCTATGAGCCGCAACTATTGGACCTGTTCTCCAGAGCCCAGGAGGCAAAACTACCAAGCCCATGTGCTTCAGCTACTGAGCCCAAGCACCCTACAGCCTGCGTTCTGCAACGAGAAACCACCGCAATGAAAAGGCCATGCACCGCGACCGGAGAGCAGCCTGCGCAGCAACAGAGACCCAGCACAGCCACAAGTCAACGTCAGCACAGTTATATGGGAAGACTGCGGTCAGGTGCCACCTCGCACCCCAGAATGTGCGCCTGTGTGCGCTACGTCGCTTCAGTCGTGTCTGTCTCTCTGTGACCCCATGGACTGCAGCCCACCAGGTTCCTCTGTCCATGAGATTCTCCAGGCAAGGATACTGGAGTGGGTTGCCACACTCTTCAGGGGATCGTCCTGAACCCAGGATGAACCCACATCTCTTCTGTCTTGTGCATTGGCAGGTGAGTTCTTCACCACTAGTACCACATGGGAAGCCCCACACCCCAGAATGGCCTTTATCAAAAAATCTACAAACAATAAATGCTGCGGAGGGCGTGGAGAGAAGGGAAGCCTCCTACACTGTTGGTGGGAATATACACTGATACAGCCACTATGGAGAACAGGATGGAGATTCTAACATCCCCTCTCCCCATAGGATGTCTAATCCCTGAGGCCTCACGGAGAGTGTCAATGCTCCCGCAGTCTTGTGCTTGCCATCCCTCTAAGTTCTAGATCTATACTCTCCAGTATTGTAGCTAGCAGCTACACGTGGTTAGTGCGATGGATGAGCTGAGTTTTACATTTTACTTAATTTTAGTTAATTTAAATGTTAAAACTGAAGCTCTGTAAAATATTCTCTACTAAACACAATTTTACTGTTTTAGTCAGATTATTTGACATTTATTTCACTTTAACCAACAAAAATTTAGTGTCTGAATTGACATGTGCTGGAAGGGTAAAAGAATCTGCCTGCTAATGCACAAGAGACGCGGGTTCGATCCCTGAGCTGGGAAGATCCCCTGGAGAAGGGAATGGCAGCCCACTCCAGTATTCTTCTCTGGAGGATCCTCGTGGAAAGAGGAGCCTGGCAGCTACAGTTCAGGGGGTTGCAAGAGTCAGACACGACTGAAAGAACTGAGCATGCATGGAAGGGTATGATATCCACTATTTTTTGAAGATAGCACAAAGGCAATACAAATAATATAGTATGGTTTAGTACTATTTTACTTATTGATTACATTTTCAAATGGTAATATTCGGGATATATTGAGTCAAATAAAATGCATTATGAAATTAAGTTTACCTGATTTTTTTAAACTTTTGAAAAGGTAGCTACTTAAAAAGTTTTGGTTTCCCCTTTTTTTGCTTTTTTTTTTTTTTTTTTTAATTGTTCCCTTTACCAATTAAAAAATGTACAAACTGAGAAATGCTGTAATTTTCATTCACAGAACAGAGGAGCAGATTTAACTCAGATTTAAGTTAGAGGAATATTGTTAGCATATTTAGAATTATTATGAACTTGTTTCTATTAACACATTTGACTATACAGAGTGTGATATAAGAATTTTATCTAAATTGGTAGATCAGCCTGCTTATTGAACTAAGCTGATGAAGGGTTAAACTTCAGAAAGCACTGCATGGTGAGCTGAAAATTTTATTTTGCATTTAACATAAAAAAGAATATCTGATGACCCATCTTTCTCTCTTCCTGAGAGGTCACAACAGCTAGCTGGTAGCCTTTTTCTCAAATCTGAATTCATTTATCCTCCAAACTGTCTGAAAACATTGATTAGGCAAGAAACATTCTAGCAGAGTCAATTTCACTCAAGATTTGGAGGTGGGGAATAGTTAGAAATTTAAATTGTAATTGAAAACTTTATTATTCAAGATATAATATAGTGTGAAAAAAAGAAATTGAAATTTAAAGATAAAATGTGGGCACATTTGTCAGACTTGTTTTTACCTAGCAGAGACTGCTTCCTAAAGGGAACAACTCCAAGGATGGGTGGTGAGATTACCACCAGCTTGGCCACGAGGGGAACTGGTTTTGATGCCAGCTCTTCCACTAAACAGCTGGATGGCCTCTGGCAATCTCTCCTGGCTGGAGAAATTGGGAGAAGTGTTGTTTTAGGCATCCTTGACCTTGGGAGTGCTCTTTGCTCCACCTACAATGAATTTCTGCAGCTCTGAGTCATTCTTTGAGGTCCACCTAACGTAACATCTTTTCTCGGATGCCATCTCAGCTTCCCTAGGCAAACGTGGTCATTTTCTCCCCTGAGATTGCATAAACCTCATCACAGAATGATTATAGCACTTAGTAAGTTTCACTGGGGTTGTTCATGGGGCCATCTTATTACAGGAAGAGCCCTCGGCATGCAGATACTGGGTGTGGGACATTTGTCTTGGCAACCATGGTGCCTATGGCAGTATTGACAGGTGCTTGCTGAGTTGCATGCTGCCTTTTGATGGAAAAGGAAGCCAAGACTGAGGCTAGAAGAGGGGATGGCACAGGGAAAATTGTCAAGAAGCCTTGTGATGCCAGGGCCACCAGGCCACTGGGCAGGGAGCATCAGCCTGGGAACACTGGCACCTGAGGAAGGCCTCCAGTAGGATGGAGCGTTGCCTCCAGTGAGGATGGCGGGTTCCCAAACTTTGTCAGCTGGGTAACCTTCTCCATGAGCCTTTCCTGCCCAGAGGTCAGGGGACAACAGTGTCCTGGCCCCATCACCCAGAAGTGCATGAGTAGATTTTCATGGTGAATCTCTGTGCTGTCTTCCTCCGCTTACGTCTTCCCCAAATCTGATGTTTTAGGGACTTGTCTATAACAGTCGCATCATGAAAAGTCCTTAAGATAATATGGGAAGTGGGTGTGCCTATGAACAGCCTGAGTAATTGCCCTCTGCCACGTCTCTTTCATTAGCTTGAGTCAAAGAGAAGAAGAAGGGAGGAAATGCAGGTGACCATATTAGTTGGGTGGTTAGTAAATTCTCATATATATCAGTTTCTGTGACTGGATGTCTCATAGGTGGGTTATAAGTTATTAGCGGTTTTGCATCTAGGGCTTTACCTTCTTCAATTTGTAGAATAGTCCCCACTCCCAACTCCCATGATCATGGAGTTTCTCTGATTAGTGTCCATTGCTCAAGTTTCATCAACAGATTTGAGAGATTTCCAGGATGGCTAGACATTCTACTCTAGGAAGCCAAGACTTTCAAAGTTAGACTAGGCTGGTCTGGGATGGAGTGGGGATTTTAAGAAAAAAGAAATAATATGTCTCCTTCACATTAATGGACTGCTGCTTTCCTGCTCCTGTTCTTTGGACTCAAGAAATGAAAATGTAGGGTTTAACACAATGTTGTAAATCAATTATACTTCAATAAAAATATTAAAACTGGAAAAAGGAAATAAAAATGTAGGAGGACCTTGGGGAAACAAAATGGGCACTAGAAACTTAACTAGTTTGTTTCTACCAGTGTTCAAGTCATG